GGAAAGAGAGGGTAATACTCAACCGGTAATGGTATTTGTATTTTTGAGCTGAGGTTTTTCTCTTGAATGTATTATTGACCTTCTTTGTGTGGCTAAATAAGTATAACTGAACTTAATGCATATTTCCACTAGCAGTTTGTTTATTAAAAATTATGTGAAAAGCTTTTTATTATAACTTTAAGCTGAGCCCCAAATTAATCTTCCCGCGTTTAAGGATGAATTCCATGTTTACCAGTATTATGGGTTTTGCCACTGATCACGTTGTTCTGGGGGCCATTAAATTAATTGTACTTGGCAGTTTTACTCATTAGATGGCTGAGAGGAGAGGTATGTGACAGTTAACATGTGAGCACCAGAAGGCCACAGTCGCCACCCTCTTCTCACACACATGCCTTGGCATCCATGGTTGAATCTATCATATGTTGAGGGATGATTCACGACAGCTTTTTCAGGAGGGGAAATAGGCTAACTGGATCTTTGATGAGAGTACTAGTTTATTAATTTGAACACTGAATGATATGCGTTGTGAGGTGTCGTTCATACTGTCAGTCTCCATCACAGTTTATTCCATTATAGTCTGGACCAAGGTTGTAGGATTCTACTGCGGAAGTAGAATGCTTGTCAGTTTCACAGGCGTTTTTGTTGGTACTAAGCCCTTATAAAAGAGAGAACAATATTACGTACTTAAAAACTAACAGAAAAGGGTATGTTCTGGCTTAGTTCTGATCCTGGTTTTATTCAGATAATTGCTTCACAACTCAGTAGAATTACTTAATCTTTGCTTATTCTGATACCTTCCCTCATACATCGGGCTGTAAGAATTGTAATCCACTTCGTCCAAATTAAACCCTGAATAAATTTTTCTTAATGTGCTTATTATTAAATCATGTGCTGAGATTAGACTCCACTGCAAAGTGTTCTTTCTGGTGGCTTCTGATTTTCTTGAATGTTTCTGCTGTTTTCTAGGTTTGAGGTTCCTACCTAACATTTACTAGACATTATTCTGCCACATAATAAGTGTAGTTAGGAATTTATATACAACTGAATGTTGATTAACTTTTATTCTCTTAGGTTCAAGGACGCCCACAAAAGACACAGAACATCATCATCTTAGAGTCCCACATCATCTGCTGCACACTGAGCACGAGTGGTGGTTTGCTGCTTGAGGCTGCTTTCCGTGGGCAAGGGGGTGTCCCCTTTAGTTGTGTCATTGTTGATGAGGTCAGTAAGCAGTCGGCCATACAGCTTTGCCTAGGAGTAAGGAGTAAGTCTTAGATGAAGAGTGGCTGCCGAGATGTTGACAAAGTGGTCTTTGCATCTGATTTTGACCTGCCATTACATGTGTATTCTCTTATGTTGAAATATGCTGCTAGTGACCCACCACGATGAAAATTGCTTTTTCAGTATTGGGACTGTAGTCTTAGGGATCCTGATTGTTCTTCATAAAATCTCTCCCAAGGATTATTGTAGCTCCTGCTTGGGATATCTCTGGTTACCTTTTGAAGCATTTTTAATATAACTCTGGACAGCTCTGAGCCACCATATTTTCAGCTAATATCTTTATTCCTACTTCATTCATTGAGCAAACATTTATTGGGTACCTACTATTTGCCAGAATGTAGAGCCAGAAGACAAAAGAGATGGAAAATGAGGTACAGAGAACCCATCCAGGAGATCCAAGATCCAGTATTCACCAAAACGAAGGAATAGAAAAGATGGAAATGATGAAATAATTGAAGGAAATGCCATTGAATTGAAAAGAAGCTTGAGTCTTGCAACTGAAGCGGCCTACTGAGGAAGAAGGAAGAGAGTGGGATGGGGGTGGGACACACAGACACGCAGTCCCCTCAGGCATGTGCCCAGCAGGGACAAAGAAGACAAACCGGGGACGTGACATGGCCCTTCTAGCTTATGGCTGCTTCCCAAGTGGTAGTGGCACCTGAGTGGTGGCTGACTTCAAAACGTGTGTGGGGTTTTTTTCCCCCGCTTCGGCGTTTAGAATGTTTTTGTTGTTTTGTTTTCTAACCAAAGAAAGTTCTTACTTTTGATCTTTGGTGCAGAAGGAGAAAGTGTATGTTTCTGAATGGTTAGGACTCTTATGAATTGGATAGACTGTATATGGATAAATAAATAATAGAGATAATTCTGATTATGTCTCCATTCTGTACTCTCTTACCAAGGCCGGACAGTCTTGTGAAGTTGAAACTCTTACTCCGCTCATCCATCGTTGCAACAAGCTCATCCTCGTAGGAGATCCTAAGCAGCTCCCTCCCACGGTCATTTCTGTGGTACGTTTTTTCACATTCGTGTTGCTTTAAAGTGGAAGGGGCTTGTTTGGGTTTTTTTTGTTTTGGGCGGTGGGGCGGTCTTTCTTGGATCATCATCTCTTATTTGCAGGGAAAAACAGGGAATGGCTGAGAAAAGAGAACCACTGTTGAGAGCCTTCATAGTAAAAGTCTCCGGAAATGTTCCTCTGTTCATAATGTGCTTATGCGTGTGTGACAGGAGCAGTGTGAGTGTCACAGACCAGAAGTTTAGGAGGAGGATGTCCCATGTGCAGTGAGCTGTTCCTTTGGGAAAGGCAGTGTGCAGCTGTTCTAAGGGCTGTATCTGATTTATTTTAGTAAACACCAAAACAATAATAAAAGAAAAACTTTAAAAGCAAGGAAAAGAATCCAACCTCCTGATTTATATTTAAATATGTGCAAATTTGAGGAAAACAGTATAAAGAGAAATTATTCTTACAGTAACGTTTTCAATTTTAGGATTCTGTATACTATAGCACAGGAAAATGCCAGCGTCCCTCACATCCTCTGAAAGGGAAGGTGGTGAAAGGAAGGAGGTTGTGGGCTGTGCTTGTGGGGAGATGAGCCACCAAAGTTGTGGTCCCCTTCACTTTGCTTCTTAAATCTCACTAAAGATGGCTCCTAGAAATGCACAGCAGAATCAGGATTCAGATGTTTTGGGTAATCTTCATAGGTCTAGATGATGGTTTTGAAATTTAATGAAATTTGAGCATTTTACTGATACATAGATTATTTGTACAAATATAGAGTAGTGGCTGCATAAACAGACCCAGAGAACAGACCGTTTTCACAGCATTTCTGTTACGTTATGGAGAGAAAGCAAGTTGTTTTTGTTACTACTGTTCTTTGACTTTGGAATCATCAAAATGATAGTGTAGTTCTTTGACGTCTGAACACTCGTGTGTGACTGTTCATGGGAGTAGCCTAGGAGCGCCCGCGTCCCTGAGTGAAAACCTTGTCCATAGGGCAAAACTGCTGCAGAGGGCTCTGCTTGTGGACAACTAGGAGGAGCCAGCTCTGCCCTGCATTCTTTGAATAATGCGGTATTTCAGAAACCTACTGATTTAACTTCCTGAAGGGCCTTAGCCTGTGGTTAGTGAAAAGGGTTGTCGATAGGCCTCAACTTTACTGTCTACTTTGGTGATTGATTAAAAACAGCAGAAATGAGAAAAATCCATTTGGACTTTTCCTGTTGTTGCAAAAATAAATAGAGGCTTATTGAGAAAATTTCAGAAAATAATTACAAAGTTAATTTTCTCAACATGCCTGTCTAACCCTAGGGATAATTACTATGAACAGTTTAGTGAGTATTTGAACTGTTTGTGGGCATGTGCGTGTTGACTTTTTTTTCAGTCTGTGTTCATTGAGTGCCAGGCTAATTCACGCACTGTTTTTAAGTTCTGGTGTCATGACAGTGATGAAAACAGACAAAAATCCCTGCCCTCATGAAGCTGACATTCTAGAGGGTAACAGACAGTAAATAAGTTACTAAATTCAGAATGTCATATGGTTATAGGGAGTGTATAAATTTGTGTATATGTATGTAACTTTCGACCTTGTTTGAAGGTGGCAGAATCAGTGTGTACCAAATTACCTTTTTTCCAGTCAGTAGATAGATCAGGAATATATGTTCATGTCAGAACATAAAAATCTCCATCATTTTGTAGGATGGACTCAGTTTTTTTTCTGGAAGTAGTTGTGTTACCTCATATAAACCATTTTCTTTTTCCCCAGAGTGAAGTAAAGGAGGTTTTTTTAGCTATTAACTTGAATAAATAAACTTTGGGGGGGGGGTACAGATGAAATTGCCAAATGTCTACTAAAAATATTCTCTTTAATTATACAAGCCTATTTAATATCACATATGTAAATAATCACATATATAAATAATACAAATAAGAAGTAATGCCTATTTTCTCCACTCTGTTTGTGAAACAGGTTTATTAAAACTTTGCACATACATCTTCAAAGCTCATATTGTCAACATTACTTAAAAAGATTGCATCATCTTAGTGGGTTTTCCAGAGCGCATTTTTTGCTTCTAGATTATTTAAGATACAGTACTTTTTGAATCTTGATATGATGCTACCATTGAAAAGTATATCCCAAGGCACGACCGTGATAACATTAAGACAGTTTTCCTCATTTGTCAATTAAGTCACTGTATTTCAGATCACAGGTTTGTAACCCTTTCTTGGATTTATGAAATCAACTTAGTTGCCTGTCTCCTCCACTAGAATGTAAGTTCTGTGACACTTGATCTTATTCACTGTAGACTCTCAGCACCCCAAATTTTAGCTGCTCAGTATATGATGGATGGATGAAGAAATTGGTCTTTCAGAGGCTTATTTACAATGACATTCATTATTTCTAGCTGTGAGAGCATAGCCCAGAAATAATTGTTAAAATCTGTGTTACAGTTCTTTGCTGCTTTTATCATTGATTCTTTCAGGTGACCCCTGTTAGCACCAAAATAGTGACAGTTGTGGTCATTCACAAGATCACGTCTCGTTCATAAGCAGTATGTGGGTTTTCTAAATAAGGAGAAAATACCTTAACTTTTGTAGTCAAGCAACATGGCTTTTCTAGGGCTGGAGTCGGAAACATCTTTTTTCTCTGAATCTTTGGTTGTTGGCAATACCTCTAATACATTTTAGAGCTCAGTGATTGTTTTTTTAATAGTGGGAAAAGTACAAATGAATTCTTGGAGATTATTGCTTTGTTTTCCTCCTTTCAGAAGGCCCAGGAGTATGGCTATGACCAGTCGATGATGGCCCGCTTCTACAAACTTCTGGAAGAGAACGTGGAGCACAACGTGATTGGCAGGCTGCCTATCTTACAGCTCACCGTTCAGTACAGGATGCACCCAGACATATGTCTCTTCCCTGCTAATTACGTTTATAACAGGAACTTGAAAACAAATAGGTGAGTTCTGTTCATTGCATGTTCACCTGTTTTATTTGTAGGTTTGGCTGCTCAGGAAGAATAGCTCTTTTGTTGTGCTTTTAGGTCTTGTTATTAAAAACATAAAGGTTCAATAATTTTAATTATAAAAGTCCTGTTGATTGTAGCAAATGCAGATAAACGAGAAGAAAGGGAAAAACCCAACCCCTATTTATGCTACCCAGAAGTAATCACTGGTAACATTTTGTTATATCTACTTCCAGTCCTTGTACTATGCACATCTTTTTTTACTTTTTCTCTTTTGGGGAAAAAAAAGCACACCATGCTCTACATAGTATTCTGTAGCTTGCTTTTTTCACTTACTGTATTATGAGTGACTTTCCAATCATGATTGTTATATTTTAATTACCTGGGGTCATTCTCCCTAGTACTAGAATAGAAATGAAATTCACTTGCTACCTTTCACTAAAATGTGTTATTTAAAAGTATTTAATTTTATTTAAAAAGAAGGTCCTTCTTGTCCTCTTACTTTCCCTTGCTCTCTTGCCCAGAAAGAACAAATGGTAATAATAATTCTAAAATGTTTTCTCTTATAATTTGACTTGCATTCTAAATGGTGGCTGCTCTTTTGTAGAATGACAGAGACCATTCGGTGTTCATCTGACTGGCCATTTCAACCCTACCTCGTGTTTGATGTTGGAGATGGTTCAGAAAAGCGGGATAATGAGTACGTTCTCCTTTTTCTTCAGTCCCCACTGATGGTCCCAGAATTTTTATATTGTTTTTGTTTATATTTAAATTCAAAATATTTTCTATATAAATCTCTCTGCTTAGTGCCAGTGCACAATCATCTTCTTTTGCTGGGTTGATGACTTCAACTTTTCAATCATAAATTACTGATGTATTTTTTATATATTTGTTTTGATTTTTTTTTCTTAACTGGGTAATGGGGGTTATGTTACCTAACATGCGGTCAGCACTTCAGTAGATCCATGCTGAGATCACAGCTGTGAGTAAAACAGACGTGGCCCCAGTGCAAGGCTGCTGTGGTCTAACAGGGGAGACAGACATTAACCAGGCCATCACTGTGGTGATTAATGATTCCGGTTGGGTTAAGTATTGTGACGGATAAGTACAGATACAGTTCAATCAAGGTGTGAGGCAGAGGGTGGACAGTACTTTCAGCATGTTGGATTGTGAATCAGGTGGTTTGTGAATGACAGCGGAAAGGAGCAGTGGTTGCTAATTAGGAAGTACCTCAGAGGAGCCAGGGCTTCTTGTGAGAGAATAAAGGAGGAGGAGCCCGGAGGCTGCATTTGTTAGCACAGATAGAAATGCCACCCCTGTATCATGACGTGTGAAGAAATAGAAATTCCACCTCTGCGTCAGGAGAGAGCTGCAGAGCAAGTGGTGTCCTCCGTGAGAATAAGATACTAGTTAATAGTGGTGGAGGGAGGGGCCACTCAGTGAAGAAGCTAGAAATACAGAGCAGTTGGCTGGGGGGCTGCTATTCCAGAGGGATTGTGGAGATTGTAGTGGGGTCTGTTGGAATGGAGCAGAGGATTGAGAGTTTACCACATAAGTATTATGGGGATGGATGGTCACGAGAAGAGTGTTGGCCTGAGAGGTGACCAAATAAAGATTGCAGGTATGGAAAAGAAAGCTAGCTGACTGGGTTGTCTGTATAGTAAGTCTTGAAATTAGAATAGTGAGTATTTAAGTCTTTAAAGTGAGACAGATAAGGTAGCCTCGGGAATAAAGGTGCGAGTGCAGGGCATCCATCCCCCAGTGTGCACACGTGTAGCATTTGGTATGGTGATGAGGGAACGCATTGTAGTTCGGGAGATGAGTTGGAAGTGCAGGATGAAGCCAGCAAGGACAGAGGACGTGATCCTGCTGTAGGGCCCCATGTTTGTTCATCTCTGGGAGCTGGGTCACATTTAGTCTGTGTGGCTGCCATCCTCTCGGTCATGTGGTGCATGATCTGCATGGCCTGTGGTGGGGAATGCAGGAAGGTGGTACATCGGAAGCACTTTTCTCAGTGTTGGGAAGATAGTAAATCCTTAGTGTTAGCTCTTCATTAGTCATATCTTCATTATTATTATGAATACTTTCGTTCTCACTGTGGCTATCCCTGTTTTAATAAGTGAAGAAACTGGTGCCTTAACATCACTTAACCCCAACCTCTTTTCTCTCATACAACTTCGTGTTTCACTGGGCAGTTGTTTTTATATTTATTCATATGTACAATATTAATGGTCATTATAACAGCCTCTTTGAATCACTGCTGACTGAATAAAGATGAAACCTACCTGTGTACCTTTTACTGTAGTGGAAAACAAAGTGGAACTTAACAGCGATTGGACTGCTATTAGTTTTGATGTGTTGTATTTTTTGTTTTTGTCTTATTTAGTTCATATGTAAATGTTCAAGAAATAAAACTGGTAATGGAAATAATTAAACTTATGAAAGACAGAAGAAGGGATTTTACTTACCGAAACGTTGGCATAATAACCCATTACAAGGCTCAGAAGATGATGATTCAGAAGGATTTGGACAAAGAGTTTGATAGAAAAGGGTGAGGCATCTCTATTTTTACAGATATTTCCAGTTTTTCTGTTGAATTAAAAAGAAGAAAGAGGGGATAGAAGGAAAGAAGAAAAGGAAACTTAACTCTAGGGAGTGGTCTTAGACCCTGGTAGTATAGAACAAGGAGACTAGGACCCTGGCTCCATAGACTTGTGCTGGGAGGGAGTGTGGTTACACTTGGTAGCCCCTGCAGGTGGAGTGCCTCCTGCCAGTTCAAATGTCATCACCATTACACTGGACAATGGAAGTGACTGAGAAATTCTTCAGGCCTTTCCCTTTAGTTGGGTGACTTGTTATCTGAATTCTAACTCTACTGAGAATCATGTATTCACATTTTCACTTAGAATAAATTATTTAACCCTTTTAGTGCCTTCATGTATAGGGTGAAGATCTTGTTTTTGTCTCCTTTATACCTCAACAGTAAAATTAAAAATTAAATATTGGAAATCCATTAACTCAAAAGTTTCTGCACCTAGAAACACACAAAGTACCAAAATTGACTCTAGAAAAAAACAGAAACTTTGGATAGACCTATTAAATGTAAAGAGATTGAGTTAGTAATCACTTTCCAACAGAGAAAAACACAGGACCAGGCTTCACTGGTGAATTCTGTCAAACACTAAGAATTAGCACCAGTCCTTTGCAAATGCTTCCAAAAAATAGAAGGGAAGACTTTCTAACTCATTTTATGGGGCCAATATTACCCTGATACCAAAGCCATGGAGACATCACCAGAAAAGAAAACTATGGACCAATATCCTTTATGAATATGGATGCAGAAATTCTCAACAAAATAATGGCAACTGAACTCAACAGCATATTAAAAGGATTGTTTACCACGGTCAAGTGGAATTTATCTCAGGAATGCAAGGTTGGTTCAACATATGAAAGTCAGTCAGTGTGATATATATCATATTAAAGGGGGAAACCCCACACGATCATCCAAATAAATGTGGAAAAGACATTGGACTGAATGCAGCAACCTTTCGTGAGATACTCAACAAACTAGGAATAGAAGGGAACTTCCTCAACCTAATAAAGAGCATCTATGAAAAACCCTCAGCTAAAACATCATACTTGATGCTAAGATTGAAAGCTTTCCCCCTATGATCAGGAAGGATGCCTACTCTCACTACTTCTGTGCAGCACTGTATTAGACGTTCTGTGCAGAGCAATTAAGCAAGAAAAGGAAATAAATGGCATCCATATTGGAAGAGAAGAAGTAAAAGTGTCTCTTCACAAATGGCATAATCTGGGACTTGCCTGGTGGTCCAGTGGTTAAGACTCCATGCTTCCACTGCAGGGGGCATGGGTTTGATCCCTGGTCAGGGAACTAAGATCCTGCATGCCATGTGGCCAAAAAAAAAAATCCCAAAACCAAAAAAACAAAACCAACAACAGAAAAAACCCAAGTGGCATACTCTTACATATAGAAAACCCTAAAAAAATCTATGCAAACTACTGGTCCTTATAAACAAGTTCAGCAGAGTTGTAGGGTACAAGATCAGTATACAAAAATCAGTTGTATTTCTGTACACTATAGAGAAATCTGAAAAGGAAAATTTTTTAAAATTCCATTTACAGTAGCATCATAAAGAACAAAATACTTAGGAGTTAATGTAACCAAAGAAGTGTGAGCTCATACACAGAAGGACAAAACGTTGTTGAAAGAGTTTAAAGAACTAGATAAATGTAAAGACATTTCATGTTCATGGATCGGAAACTTAATATTGTTAAGATGGCACCATCCCCCAGGTTGAGCTACAGATCCATTGTTGGGCTCTCTGTCAAAATTCCAACTACCTTTTTTTACAGAAATGGACAAGCTTATTCTAAAATTCACATGGAAGTGCAAGAGACCCTAAATAGCTTGACAGAGAACAATGTTGGAGGGCTCACACTTCCCTCTTTCAAAATTTACTACAAAGCTATCAACACTGGTACTGTCATAAGGGTAGACATATAGACCAATATAATAGAAGTGAGATTCCAGAAATAAATCCATACATTTATGGCCAGTTGATTTTCAACAAGGGTGCCAAGCCTATTCATTGGGGAAAGAATAGTTTTTCAACAAATGGTGCTGGAATAACTGGATATCCACATGCAAAAGAATGAATTTAGACCCCTGTCTCACACTGTATACAATAATTAACTCAAAATGAATTAGAGCCCCGAGTCTAAGAGACAAAACTATAAAACTTATAAGGAAACAAAGGTAAATTTATATGACCTCAGATTAGGCAACAGATTCTTAGATATGATACCCAAGCACAAGTAACCAAAGGAGAAGTAAATTGGCCTTCGTAAAAATTAAAAACTTATGTGTTTCAAAGGACACACTATCAAAAGAGTGAAAAGACAACACACACAGTGGGAGAAAATACTTGGAAAATACTTATCTGACAAGTCATATCCAGAATATATAAAGAACTCATACAACTTAATAAAATGATAATCTAACTTTTTAAGTGGGCAAAGGGTGTGAATAGCATTTCTCAAAAGAAGATAAACAGAAATCCAACAGGCACATGAAGAGCTGTTCCACATCATTTGTCATTAGGGAAATGCAAATCAGAACCACAATGAGGACATACTTCACACCCACCAAGATGACTGTCATTACAAAAAAAAAAAAAGTTTTGGCAAGGATGTGGAGAAATTGGATTACTTATACATTGCTGGTGAGAAACTGGAGAAAACAGTTTGGCAGTTCCTCCTAAAGTTGAACATAGAATTACCACGTGACCCAGCAATTCCACTCCTAGGTACATACCTGAAAGAATCGAGAAAGGGTTCACACAAAAGCTTGTACATGAATGTTCGTAGCAACATTATTCATGATAGTTCAAAAGTGGAAACAACCCAAATGTCCAAAAATGGTACATAGGTAAAAAATAAATTGTGTATCTGTACAAGCGAGTAGTCAGTCGTGGAAGGAAGGAAGTACAATTAACATCTGTGACACGGATGAACCTTGAAAACATTGTGCTATAGGTGAGGGAAGCCTGACACAAAAAGTCCCACATTTTATGATTCCATTTATATGAAATTTCCCATATAGAAAAGTCCATAGAGACAGACAAGTAGATTAGTGGTTGCCAGGGCCTGGGGAGGGGGAGATAGAGGCTGATGGCTGATAGGCACAGGGCTTCTCTCCTGGGTGATGGACATGCTATGAAATTAGATAGCGGTGATGGCTGCACACCATAGTGAATGGACTCAACACCGCCAAATGGTGTACTTTAAAATGGTGAATTTTGTGTTATGTGAATTCTATTCCAGTTTAAAAAGATAGCATTAAATAAGAAATACTACTGTATAAATATGTATATTTAATAATTATCTTTTTTCAGTAAATATGTTTCTCTCTCCGTAAATAGGCCAGCAGAAGTAGATACCGTGGATGCCTTCCAGGGTCGTCAGAAAGATTGTGTTATTGTTACATGTGTCAGAGCAAATGCCATGCAAGGTTCAATTGGGTGGGTAACTGTCATTATTGATTCTTTGCTTGTTTATCATCCAGAGTTAGATCTTTTTAATCACCGTTAGAGAATACCATTATTTGCTCTATTTTCTTATATAAGAAATTGAGTAATATCCTGAAGGTTTCTTTTTTAAGTAGTGAAGTTGATCCACTGTTAGGTCTGCTTCTCTTGGTACCTTGTGTATTAACCCATGTCACAGTGTGAATCTGTTTTTTCACTTGATAAGAGTGAAACAGATTATTGAATCCAGTATATTTTGCAGGGGCATGTTCTTCTCCATGGTATGTGTCATAATTGGTCTACTATCATATTTTTAGGATCTTTTAAGGCTTAAAAATCATACCATTAAAATTTCCAATATCTCATCCAAGTCAAAATAGGAAATCAGCAGACAGATGCATCACTTTGAAGGAAAGCACTGGGCATCTTGTTTGTTTGCTGTCCTTAATGGGAATTGCTTCTGTGCCAGGTCCTGCACCATGACCTTAAAGCAGGAGCCCAAGAAAAGCTGTCTGAAACGCCTGTGTCTCACCTACACTGACATGCCGAGTCATTCTGAAGAAAGAAGTAACTTGTTTTTTTTCCTTCTATTGCCTAGGTTTCTGGCAAGTTTGCAGAGATTGAATGTCACCATCACACGAGCCAAGTACAGCCTCTTCATCCTGGGACATTTGAGGACCCTGATGGTAGGTACATTCTAAAGGACCAGAGAACTCCAGAGTTTGCTCATCATGACTGATACCGGGTTGAGGTTTTGTTTTTATTTTTCATCAAAGTGGAAATGATTTCGAGGCTACAAACAATAATGAGCCTCTTCCCCCTGGTTGTTATGTCCTCCAGCAGCTTCTTCCTGGGAGCTTTTACAATGCCTAAACCGCTCACCCTTTTCTTAGCCCAAGACCCAGGTAGGTATCCGTAGTGTACTCTCAAGATGACCTTTAAAAAAAATTGTATCTACATCGTAGAATTGTTAAGAAGATGTAAACCCATATATGTAAAGTGCTAGAAGATTGGTTAGCACTTAGTAAACACTCAGTAAATATGGCTCTTAGCCTAGCGAGCCAGAGAGAGGGGGAATTTGCAGGAAAGTGCTTGGATCTTCATTTCTGTCTTGGCACTTAGAGCAGCACTGCTTGCTGTTTCCCTTGAGGGGTGAGTGGCATCAGAGCTCGTCCATCCATACAGATACTCCTCTAGAAGGAGGGGCAAGTTTACTATCTGTAGTCGACAAATAGTACAGCTTAATTTGGTGAATCACAGCTAGATAAAGCATGTATTTGCTGCCTGTCTCATTAGGTGTAATAACTCAGTTTCCCTAACTTCTGTATTTAACAGAGTCATTGTTTTATCTCAGGAGAGGTGCCAACTCAGTAGGTTTTTCCCCTGCTTTGGTTAGTTCCACCAGAGGGCGCTCAAATACAGTCTTTCTCATTCAGCTCTTCCCTAGATCTGTGGTCTTCAACCTTTGTTGTTTGTGTACCCCCTTGAAAGAATGTTTAAAAGCTGTGTATCCTCCGTTTTTAAGTTTATATTGAAAATTTTTCATCATTAAGTGTTGATAAAGATTTTGTTTCTAATGTAAATATTTGACATTTTAGAATAAAGCTATTAAAAATAAATCCATTATGTCACTCTTAAATATATCCAGTGGAATAGAGAGCAGTGTTATTCTTTCTGCTCTTTAAAATTGAATTGCCATTTATACTGTTTAGGATAAAGTTCAGTGGGGGTAGTTTATATATTTTCATAATTAAAAGCCTTGCTGTTAATATGACTATTAGGCTTTTCTGCCACAAAAAATTTACATGTAAATTTGAAAGTTTAAAGAATTGGTTTTCATAACTATTTGGGGAAACTGTGTGAAGGGTGCGTGGAACCTCTGTACTGTTTTGGTAACTTCTTATGAATCTATAGTTACCTCAAAGAGTTCTTTAAAAAATTATTTTTCCTGTGACCTTAAGGATCTGAGTATTAATGAACGATATCTTGTCAGTTGAGTAACGTATTAACAATTATTATTTTCACACAGTTGAATTTTGATAATGTTCAAACCAGAAAAGTAAAATGTTTATAGAGCTGTGTCTCTTAGATGCCCTGATTGCAGGAGCCTTCATGGGCACCCCTCTGTTTACCACCCCCTCTATTTGACACCCAGGCATGTTTACCTCCCCTAGCCGTGCTCCCTGTGGTCAGATTTGGGACAGGTGAGAGTTGTGGTGGTTGTGAAGGATGGAGTGGAAGGGCGGAAAAGCCCCAGGAGGACATAGGGGACTGGGGTTTGGAAGGTGAGGTTTGGAAATTGATTCCCAGAAAACATGCTCACATCCCCCCCCCCGAGGAAGTCTCTGTGAGCCCCCGAGTCACTGTCACGCAGATTTGAAGACTGCTGACGTCTAGCTGCGGTATAGACGTTATTATCTTCACTCTGGGAAGCCAGTGTGACAAAAAGAGACTGACAGAACGGAATAGAAAAACGTCCAGTTTATCATTTGGACTTTGCAATCCAACTTAACGTATTTGTCCTTGGGCTTCCCCCCGCCCCAGCCTCTTTTTTTTTGGTTCTTCAGCCCAGTTTCCCTTATGGAGATGGAATCTGTGATTAAGGCACTTGGTTTCCTCTGAGTAATCAAGACTAATAGCCCCTTCTCAGAACTGTTTTTGTGATCTAGGGATTGGATTAAACAGCAAGTTCAGGTGCAGTAGAATTGGCAGAAATAGCAGCAAGGCCATCTGCTTTACATCTGCGTTCCAGCCACAGGGTAGGACTCTCGAGCTCTCCTGAGTCAGAGAGGTCTGAGCCTGGTACTGCTTACATGCACCTTCCTGGTGCGTGCGGTCACCGTACCGTGCACTTGATTTACACGACTTTAAAAGACTCTGTGAGGTCTGCATTGCCACCATAGTTTAACACATCCAAGAAGCCATTAGTTATATAATGTGCATCATTATTTTATGTTCTGCTATTGAACTGTGACATTTTATTTTCACTTAGAATTTTTGTTTTATAGTTACTGAAAGAACTCTTTTAGACTTTCGACAGATTTTTATTGGGTTGGCCAGAAGGTTCATTTGGGTTTTTCTGTAACATCTAAATGAACTTTTTGGCCAACCAAGTGTCATACCACTCTTGTTCATATATAGGAAATACAGCAAAATAGGTAGACTAAGATACCCCTGAAAGCATCTCACTTTCAGACTAACACTCTGGTCGTCCCCATTCACCATCCCATGTACCCTTGCTCACGCTCGAACCGTTCCCTGTGCAGTCAGAAGCGTCTCATGAGAGGGCCCCACTGTGGTCCCGGGGTTTTTTCCAACTTCTCATCTCCATTCTCCAAGTTGTAGTGCTGGTACTTTCTTGTCTTATCAGAAGATGTCTGTGGAAAGATTTTTCAGGCAAGAGCCAGGACTCATTCTTTTTAAAAGTGGTTTGTTGACTAAAAGTCAAGAGGTTGTAGCCGCCCAGCCATGAATTCCTCCAGGATTACATGCATGGAGACTGCTGCCGGGCCAAGAGGCGCCCCAGAGTCAGAAATGGTAAAAGGTGAGAATAAAGCGCATCTTATTCACTTTATTCTATTTCAAAGCACGTTTCAGAGGCATTTAAATAGAATACTATTCATACTTTACAGTAAGGAAACAGGCTCAGAGAGGTCATGTGACGTGACCAAGGCCACACAGCAGGTCAGTACTATGTATGCAGCTTCACTGCTATACCCTTACCCACCTTCATGAATAGCGCAGGAGCCCCCATGAGGGGAGCTATCCTTTTCTTCTCTTTCCTTCAGTCTCCGTCTTTTTTCCTCCCTCATACTCTCTCTTTCTTCTGTCTAAAGAGGCCCAAGTTCTGATGGTTGTAAAGAAGCAGGTTATTGCTGAGGAAACTCTAAAAGGAAGAGAGGAGAGATGTGGGAGTTGGGGCTTTGTTTTGTTTTGTTTTTCCCTTTAGATGTGCTTTTCATAACTTAAGCCCTTCTAGAAAAGAGACAAAAGTGTGACAATATCTTTGGAATAGTTATCTCAGCAGATTAAGATGGTTTAGCCCTTTGGAGTTTGGGAAGCCTTTGGGAATTTGATGAAAGCTGTGGACCTCTTTCTAGAACAGTCAGCATGCACTCAAAAGTTAGAGCTTTCTGAAACCAAGCCTTCCTCTTCCAGACTGTTAGCCTTGGCCGGAGGCAGGCAAGCCTCTGGGATCAGCAGTGTCAAAGGAACTTGGTGGGATGATGGAGCCCTTCTGTGTCTGTGTTGTCCAGGATACTAACCCTAGTCACATGTGGCTGCTGAGCACTTGAAATCTGGCTGGTGCAACTGAGGAAATGAATTTTTAATTTTATTTAATTGAAGATTAAATAGCTGCATGAGGCTACTGGCAGTTGGTACAGATTTGCATGGCAGCTAATTCACCACGTGGCCTGAGTAACCGTGGTAAAATGCTGGACGTCCTTTCGTAGAAGTGGTGCCCAGTGTTCTCTCCTAGCAGCGTGGCTTTATAGTTCTGTGCTCCGCCTTATTTTTCCTTTCAGCCTTGTCTAACAAGTAACGGATTCTTGAGAATCTGTTCACGAAGGTATACTTACTATTTGTTCAGAAGTGAAAGCTGGCACCTCTGCTTCCCAAGCATACGAGTGTTTCTTTGGGATGTAATTTTCTTCCTTCTCTTTGTTTCAAGGAAAACCATCATTGGAATCAGCTGATTCAGGATGCGCAGAAGCGTGGTGCCATTATTAAGACTTGGGACAAAAACTATAGACAAGATGCAGTGAAGATTCTGAAACTCAAGCCTGTACTGCAGAGAAGTCTGACTCACCCTCCTGCTATCGCCCCAGAAGTGTCCAGACCCCAGGGCGGAGTGCCCAGCAACAAGCTAGACAGTGAATTTGCCAAGATGTCTATTGCTTCTTCCCTGTACCCCTCACCCTCTGACTCCAAAGAAGCCACTGTCACTGTTACTGCAAATGACCCTGAAAGGCCACCCATTCAGGACTGGCTTCGGGACCCACGACTGCTTAGGAGGATGGGCTTGGGCTGTGAAGCCAAAGGGAAATGCCTCAGTGAGCTGCAGCCCTCCAGCCCCCAGTATCCCGGAGCAACGCCTCCCTCTGGAGAGCCAGGCTCCCCTGGAAGTCACCAGGATCCAACCAGTATCGGGCAGCAGCCCCCCGCCAAGGGAGCTGCTGTGAACAACCACAGACCTCACGCGCCGTGCGACCCTCCAGCTGTTAGTACCGATGCTTCCACGAGTAAGAGAAAATGTGCCCAGGAAGGGGAGGCAGTCAGCCACAGTAGGGAGACCAGGGCCTTCCCTGAGGGGGATCAGGAGAGGTGTGGCTCTCTGAGCCACCACACAAAGAGGAACTCAGGCTGGGACGAGAGGGGGCTGGAGGAGGAGGACAGTAGCTCGAAGAAGAGGAAGCTTTTATAGTGGGGCCAAGCGAGACTGTCAGCCACAAGCATTACTGCAGACTTCAGGTGACCAGCTAGTAGGACTGTCCAGATAAGATTACTTTTTTCCCTAAAGGAGTTTGTGTGCTGTTGGAAAACAAAATGTATCCTTGGTCATCTTCAGTACTTTTTGTCAGTTGCAGGAGCTTTCAGAAGGCATTTGTGTATCAGTAATAATGTCCTTGAAGTCGAAGACTTAAAATGTTGATCTCTTGTTCTTCTGTAGAAAAGGTCAGACTGGAGAGGATGCTGTAAAAGTTGGAATGTATATTTGTATAGCAAATAACAGAATCCTTTTAAAATTTAATCTGGTAGACAGCTTTTCTTTCCCCTGCTTAAAATGTTAATCATTTTCAACGGAACAAACCTTACATTTAAAAAAAAAAAGATGGGAGGAGGGCAGGTTCTTTCAAAGATTGTTGTAGCAAACAGACATCTTTAACAGCCCAGGCGGCCTGAGAGAAGCGAGTCGGTGCGTTGGGTCAAATGCCTCTAGTCCTGTTAAACCAACTGGAGTGTCCTGGGCAAGACCCTGGGAAGCAGAGCTCTGTTAGGTGAAGTTCCACTCATGCACCTTTTTAGACAAGGCACCTTGACACAGGATATTACATTTCTGTGATGAGTTCGTCTGCCTAATGTAGTGAGCACATAGTTCTCTAGCTAAAATTCTCATTCTTCATGAGATAGAAGAATGTGAAATGAAAGAATAATTCTTGAAATGTCATTCAGATGCCCCCAGCATATTGTGAGTTTCCTGCAACTGGTAGGTTACAAATCCGGTGGTTACCAAGTATTAGATCAGTGCTGGGGTGGCTTGTGGAAGCCTGTAGATCACCAAGAGAATCCAACTCTTGAAAAGCTGGATGTTTAGCATCTTCCCAAGGGATTCTGGTCACCAGGCAGCTTGGGAACCAGGTAGGGCAGACCAGATACAATATTTTAGGCAGGAGAGAAACATCCTCTAAAAAGAGAAGGATGGGGAGACGAGTGCAAATACTTGGAGTTGAGAACAGGAAGAGAGTTGACAGATTGCGTCTGATCTTTGGAAACCATCGTAAGTGACGCAAATACACCGCTGTGGTGGAAGATCTGGTTAGAGGGGTTGTGCTTCTGTGAAAGGAAGTGGCCACGGAGGGTGGAGATTTGAGAGACTTGGATGAGGGCAGGGCTGCCTAATTTCAAAGTCCAGTTTTCCAAGCACACACACACTGATGTTGAGGGTATCCCAGACTGAGAATCTGTGTTAGTAACAGTTGACCATTGTTTGAACTAGCGGTTTGTAGTGAATGCTGTGCAGCCCTAGCTAATTTGGGGGAGAAATCACGCATTCCTGAAGATGAATGTGCACCATTTGAAACTTTTTCAGTCATCTGCTTTTTTTTTTTTTTTTTTTTTTTTTTT